AATTAGGACCTTATAGACTATGAAAATCTAGGGATCAAATTAGTCGATTAGCATAGTTTAGGGACCAAATTTTGTCTTTTCATAGTTAGGGACCTAATTATAATTTTGGACTCACTTTTAATTACTTCGCGCGATTAAATCTCTTAATTAAGGGGATAAATTTAGCGTTCTGATCCATCCAAGAGTGTACCAGAATCAAACATTTTGTGTGCTTTAGGGAAAAGGATACCGTTGAAATAGTAATCATAAACTAATTACTTAATTAAGAATTATATAATTTTATTGTACTTAAAATAAATGCGGTATAATTGATTAACTAAATTATATAATTCCTATAACGACATTAACTAAATTATATGATTACTATAATTACGAAACTCGTGTCGTCAAGGACTCAGGTCGTTACACATCCTGTCGTGGAAAGAAGGACTAAGCTTTGCATATCTTGTTGCTGGATATTTTACGTATCTTGCAGCCTTGGACTTGGCACCATACCGAGCATTTTAGCCCATGGCTTCCATTGGAGTTGTTTCATTTGCTTATAGGATTATTCAGAGAAGGAACAGAGAAAACGGAGAGAGCTATCGTAGCAGCAGAAAGCATTGATACAGACATTTGACAATTCTTTTTGTAGTTTTGAAAATGGATTTGAAAGTATTGTGTATAATCTGGGAAAATTCATGTGCATAATTTATATTCCAATAACAAACATTTTATGTACGTTAAAACGGACAAAATCTCGACTTATCGAAATCAAATGTCTAAAGTAGAAACGAGAAATGCATGAATATGAATTCGATCGAGGTAAGAGTTTGACTCTTTCTTCTTAAGACGACAATGTAATGTATGAATGCTAACGATTTTCTCGAATTCATCTAACAAAATATAACGACCACTCATGCAATAGAAACACTCCAAATTATATAGACTAACGAGCTTAGTGATGTTTTGAACTCTCTTTATATAAAATTCGAATCAAAATGGATGTTGGAATTATTTTGAAATGAGCATATATATCAACATGATAATGCAATAATGAATTGAATGAATAAATTAAAATTACATACGTTGGGGTCTAAAAAAATTGTCTCAAAAGGCAACCTTAGAGAAAGTCACAACTATTGGAATTTGCCTTTATGTGAACAGACACTTACTGAAAAATAATAATTTCAAAATAATAATAATAATAATAATTTCAAAAGTCATGATCTTTTATATGAAAAAACACATTTTTTTTGTCATACGATTTTAGAATATTTTATTGTATTCTACATATTTTTTTAACAATTTTATACATTTATTTGACTTCATTTGACCTTAATTTCTCATTGATTGACTAACGGCTTCACTTAAATAATTGGTTAAATTGGTCATATCCTATGTGCAAGTTGGCTCGAGCTTAGATAGGACTCACTTTTTTTAACACCTCAACATGCCATTTCAACTACAACCAAGCTCGGATCCCTTCCACTATAAGGGGGTAGGCATAGGGGTGGACGCGGGTCAATTCGGTTCGATTTTTTTCGATTCCAGAAATTTTCGGGTATTTAGTAAATGGAACCGTCGTTTCCAAATATAATTTTGGTTTCGGTTCGGTTCAGTTCCGTACTATAATTAAATTTTTTAATATTTAAAATAATACTAC